TTTTTGTCTGAAGATGCCCCATGACTTGTAATGTTTTATGCTCCTGTTCGGTGTGGATTTATATCCTAAATACTCTTTGGGTAGAATAAACTTAGATTCAAAGACTTCCTCAGTAAACATGGGTAGGAAGTAGGAATGCACTTATATAAGCCATATATGGCACCAAATGGGTTAAACTTCCACAAAAATAGTTGTTTTTTAAATGGAGCTTACAGAAAACTTTTTTAAAAACCACACCCTTTTTGACTTTTGAAATAAGTGCTTGGCCTATAGTTAAATATGATTTAAAGGGGCACTATAGTGTCAGGAACACTAATGTTTATTTCTGACAGTATATAGTTCTAGGTGGTTAGCACCCCTTCCTCGGGTAAAAAAGGTGATTTGCTCACCTTTTTCCAGCACCGCGCGGGGCTCCTCGAGTGGCCCCACCCCCTGATCCGCCTCCTTTACTGACATCAGAATTGATGATCTCAGCCAATCACAATGCTTTCCCATAGGAAAGCATTGGATTGGCTTACATGGTCAACAATTCTGATGATCTGTCAATGAGAGGGTGTGGGGGCAGAGTCAAATGCCGCTCTGGACAATCAGCATCTCCTAATAGAGATGCATTAAATCACTGTGCAGCACTGACCCAGGAAGCACCTCTAGTGGCCGTCTGACTGCCACTGGAGGTGTCCCTAGGGAGCCATGTAAACACTGCCTTTTCTCTGAAAAGGCAGTGTTAACTTATTAAAGGAAAATATGGGTGCTGTCGGTAAAGCGAAATTAAGCGCAAATATTATTCAGTCAGAGAACAAAAATCAACACCAGACTGACTAACAGCGTTATTTTGGGCTAAAATTTTAAATTTACTTTGAATTCTCACTTTAGTCAATATCCCTGTAAGTGTTCAATCTGCAGAAACAGTTTGATTCCCTTATGCACTCTTTGTATAGTTACTATGAGTGGCCTTTAAAACATACTGACATTAAGTGCTACAGGAAGTTCAATGTTTACAGATTGGACCGGCTGTTTAAATATGGGCATTTCTTACATTCCAAAATTTTTCAACAATACGTTAGCAGAACCACGCACAGACCTAGCATGTTATATTAAGTTCTTTAAATTTATACATATTACGGACGCAACATGATCTACTGATGAGCATTGTCTGGTCAAAAAGCACTATTACCGGTAAATATTTTATTTAAAAAAGGCTATACAGATGTAATCCTTGCTGCTTTAACCAAACTCAATGTGCCTGTTTAGGTGGAGATTACAGTTTTTAAGATATTTCTGTATGAACTGCTAGTTTTTGTGTTTACAAAAAAGTGTTAATGAGTTATTTAATAGATTCTATTATCTATTATTAGCTATATATTGAAGAATGTGCTGTGGGACATTTAATCACATATCAGAAGGCACGTGTGTTGTTCATTTTGGTTTGAAATCGTATATATGGTTGAGCCTGGAATAGTTACAAAGCAGGGAACCTTAAACTCACTTCTCACCCATCCATTGCTTCACTATTATCATGTATTTTCTACCAACAACCTAATGAACATATTTAATTAGTAATATTAAATATATATTATCTGCACTTTTTTTATGTCGTAGCAAAATCTAAGTGAAGCTGACAATTAACGCAGACCTATCTTCGTAAGTACAGCATGGCTGCCAAACCCTAGCTCCCCAGCATTTTGTGAAATTATCAAGCATTCTCAAGAAACTGTACAAAATTCAGTGAGAGATACCTTTCACTGGTAATTTAAATGCTAATTCTTCCCAAGATGATGGTGTATGATGAATTTTCATTAATTTATCCGTGTTTGTTACATAGCAATATTGGTTAAAAATGATCAAAATTCATAAACAAATCTCTGATACTGCTGTTGATACAAATGAAGGCAAAAAAAAACAACAAATTACTCAGAAGAAGAAAATCCTTCTTAGTCGTAGATTGTTTTTTGTCCAAGGAACAATAAGTATAATTCTAGAATTGAATATCTGGATTCACCACAAAAACACAAGCAGAGTTAAAGGAGCTTGTTTACACCCAATTAGTTTGTTTTTAAAAATGCTGATTTTTCTAAATTTTACAACAATTCCCTAGTTAGGAAGGTTAAACTTGATGGACACGTCTCTTTTCAGCCTAAGTAACTAGTTGATCCTCTGACAATTCAATTAAGATATAAAGTTTATAGAATATGTCAAATTGCGAGTGGACTAGAACCCACTACACACATTTCAGAACATCAACGTGACAACTAGTTTTAATTTTAAAGGGACCCTATGGACACCCACCTCACTGAAGTGTTGTGGATGCAGTGTCCCCATTCCCTTAACTCTGCAATGTAAAAACTGCAGTGATAAGAGTGCCTCTAGTGGCTGTCTACCAGACTCTGTGAAATGACAGCGGACATCCTCACAATTTGCATAAGGACGTCTAATGTGTGGGAAAAGTCCTAGTGTGTGCATGTCATGTGCATTAAGGTCCCCCTTTCGGCTGAAGTCAGAGGAGGAGGATCCCGACCCAAGTGTTTAAAAACCTTTTACATAGCTGGGGGTGGGTGTTGGAACAGGGACACTATAGTGTTAAGAATACAGTTTTGTATTCCTAACACTATAGTGTTTCTTTAATGTAGACATGTGGTTCTTTATTGGGTGCAGAATAGTTTAGTTAGAACAGAAACCGTTAAATCTATAAAAAGCGTATTCTACCTTTAAACTATCATAATTGTTTTTACATTTGTATTCCTTTATAGAGCAAGTTTATTTTACTTTCGTTTTATTAATGGTATGGCTAATGTGGCAGCGTAGATGGCTATGTATTCCTACATGGTTGTAGTCTTGGATCCTTTCGTGGCATTGTGGTGCACTGTAGCGGTTGCATTTTAATGCCTATCGGTAGCTAACTCTCCCCTCCCTCCCTGTATTGCAGTGTGTTTTTGTTTTCTGCTTTAGTTTTTAAATTACTGTCCCTTTTTCCACCACCCCACTCCTTCCCTTCCCATGCCGGTCCAGAGCACACACATGCACTTGGAGCCAGCAATAGATTCCTATCACCAGTGACTTCAGGAGGGGAAGCAGAAGTCATTGTTGGGATCTTCATCCGGCGCTGGATTCAAGGTGAGTTTAAAACCACTTTTTTTTTTTCAGCTTTTATTGAGATCAGAGCAGAGGGACCTCCTCCATAGTTCCAGACAGGGCATTTTACAGAGAAAAAAGTTCCCCCTCCCCTCCCTGTTTCAAAGGGTTAAAGTTACCCATCTAGATATTAAGCCCATTAGATATATTATGTGCTGTTATTTATTAGATTTGATGTATTGTGAATTATTTTATTTTAGGTGACTTTCTGTGTTAGGCAGAAAGCATAGCAGCTAGATTGCAGTGTTTACTCGGCAGCCTGGAGAGAAGCCAATGTGGATATTAGACAGTAACACATCTGTTCTCATAAGGACAGAAATCAATGGAAATATCAGCTCATTGGAAAGTTAACTGTACTGTGTAACTCAGAACAGACGTCTGTCTTTTTATGGTACAAAGAGCTGCAAGTCACGTGATTTATTGCCTTTTTCATTGTTGAAACTGCAATACATTAATCATACTGCAGATATGCCACGCGTTGATGTATTTTTTATTATTATTATTATTCTTTAGTCTTCTTTTGTGCAAAATAATATATTGATATGGAATATAAAATGTTTTGTAACACTGTATTTCAAATTCAAATAGTATGATTGAATTTGTCAATTCACTGGAGATTGTTAAATAAAAATGCGTATCTGAATTTGTTTTGTGTTTTGTTTTATTTTCATAATGATAGGGTTAAGCCACGCAATATTAAAGATGCTCATCATTTTTTATTACGTCTGCCATTTCAAATGCAGCAAATTTTGATGGCCACAGTAAATAATTTGTAATTGTCTGCAGTATATATTATAACCCAATGAATAGTGTTGGTCACGTATAACCATGCTTGTGGACGTACCACTGCTACCAATATAAGGATTTGTTTGCTGTATTGTCCGATCCATCGCTATGTTGCTATAGGATAAAACATTGGGAGAACTGTGACTGTCTACCATGATTTTCTTTTTTTTCTCTCTTTTTTTTTTTCACTGCCCAAATGGATTAAAAAGTAATTTCAATATTTGGTAGATGTGCCCCCAATGAATACATGCGTGCATTTATACCATGTATTCATTGGGGGTATATTTTAAGAGCTTGAAAAATCTGCAGTTCGTATGAATTGCAGCCTTTGCAAACCCTCCCCTTTTCCCCCCAAAAGAGACTAACAGTTATTATTGAGAAGTCTCTAAACTCTAACAGAAGGAGGAAGCAAACCTTCCAGGCTATCTGATTGACAGCGTATGTGTACCATTATTTAATTATTCTCACAGAAATTGGCATGCTTATAAACTGGGGTTAAAATAAGATACTCTCCACCCATAAAGCACTTTAGCAAGCTGAAATGCTTTTTGGTTTTTGGTGTGGTCCGTTAAAACCAGAGACTGTAAATAAAACAAAGAAAATCTCCTTTAATTCCAATTTAAAATGACTATAATATTTAAAGCATATTCTCAATTCCCTGCACACATTCAATTTCTCTTTAATTTGATCCACATGAATGGATTGCCTTGCAATGACTTTTCCCCCATACTAGATAATTAGTGGTTTGATAGTATAGCACATTTACCAAGCATGTAAACATGTGCAACATATAGCAGCTTCTATTCAGAAGAAATAAACTTGTGGTTGTGCTGTTTATTTGAAAGCAATTCATATTAATTACTGTGGGGAACCGCTGTGTCTGTGTTCTATAAGCATACAGTTGTAAACTTCTCGTTAATTGACTCTTTTGACAATAGACTATGAGAATTTAGATATTTAGTTATAACTTACAGTCTATATGGAAGGGGTAAAGACACAAATAGCTGCATGTCAGAGGGGAGGAGGGATTGATTGATAAAATGCCTGTGTTATGTTAAGCTAGGGAAAGCGGTGTGTGAAAGAACAGAACATTGGCAGGAGAGAGAGTGAGCTGGGTTATGGAGACAAAGGAAGTTATAAGGGCAGTGAAATAAGAGAAACTGCACCCAGGAAGATGGTAAGCTTTCCTAAAGTTGTGTTTTCAGTTACTTCTTAAAGGGGAGAGTCTTATGCGGGGGTGGACCCAGAAACTAATCTCAGTGGGGTGGGGGGGCAGTAGACTGTTTTTTTTTTTTAAAAGGAACAATCCAGGCACAATAACTACAGGGAGCTGTAGTGGTTAAAGGACCACTCTAGGCACTCAGACCACTTCAGCTTAATGAAGTGGTCTGGGTGCCAGGTCCAGCTAGGGTTAACCCATTTTTTCATAAACATAGCAGTTTCAGAGAAACTGCTATATTTATGAATGGGTTAAGCCTCCCCCCTAATCCTCTAGTGGCTGTCTCATTGACAGCCACTAGAGGCGCTTGCGTGCTTCTCACTGTGATTTTCACAGTGAGAGCACGCATCCATAGGAAAGCATTATGAATGCTTTCCTATGTGACTGGCTGAATGCGTGCGCAGCTCTTGCCGCGCGTGCGCATTCAGCCGACGGGAGGAGAGAAGGAGGATCGGAGGAGGAGAGCTCTCCGCCCAGCGCTGGAAAAAGGTAAGTTTTTACCCCCTTCCAGAGCCGGGCGGGAGGGGGACCCTGAGGGTGGGGGCACCCTCAGGGCACTATAGTGCCAGGAAAACGAGTATGTTTTCCTGGCACTATAGTGGTCCTTTAAGGTGCCTTGAGTGCAGTGGCACCCTCCCAGTTTAAGTAGTGTGTGTGTGTGTGTGTGTGTAAGTGTTACAATGTGTGAATGTGTAGGGAGTTATTGTGTGTGTGGGGGGAGGCAGATTTTAAGCAAATATGTTGGTTTTTTTAAATTAAAATAAATCCTTTATATCCTCCCTTCTTACCTTTGCTCAGGGTGCGGGGATATTACTTCTTGGTGGGGAGTGAACGGTAGCCTGCAGCTCCTGGGGCTAGAGTTCACACTCACAAAATCCCGAGCACTGCCATGGTAACCACGGCAAAGCTTCGAGCTCACAAGAGGTCAGGTTAGAACTCCCGAGTCCTCTCTCCCTCCCCTGACGGCTGCCGCATTTCTGTGCCAGCGGGCCGGTGTGCTACTTACAGCCTCCATGTGATCCTCTACGCCTGTACAGAACACTACAGATTTACATAGGCTGCATATAACTCTACAGATTTATGTAGCTCTCTCTGGGGTATCAGAGTTTTTTAGTAAATGGCTGCCTGCCCTCCACCCCCTGTTGGGGATTCCTACATTCATGGGCAACATTATATTGTGTTTGCAGAACTACTTATTTTAAAGCAAAAATAGATCAAATGTTTGAAAGTGACAGTAGAAATGTTTTTTTCTCCCCATGTATCATCATCATTGCGATTTCAAAACACAAGACATACAGATAAAACATGAGACAATCACAACTGGGAGAATAACATCATAGTAGGTTTGTGTTATTACATTTAAGTTTATAGCAAGCAAACAAGCCCAATGTTAAAATCATAAAATAAGCATGGTTACGACATTACATCGCTATAGTGGAAATCTAATTTTTCCTGGCTAATCATGGTGGCAGCACTTATGGAAAGCTCCGCCCCAAACAGGACAGGGAAAAAAAAAATCAACCAATCAAAACAAGACTGTAGGCATAAAAGGTACCTCCACCTGGGGGCGGAGCCTGACGACCAAACTGTATAGACGCCATCTTACGCAGCTCCCAGATTGCCGACCACAATCCTGCAAAAATCACCTTACACAGGGGCCATCCTGCAAAATAAAGTGCATTTTCAGCACCATGACGTTGGGGCGAGCAGTTTGATGCCCTTTTTTCAAGCCGCCAAGCAACCCAGGCAGCGGTGCAAAACCGCGGCCTACCGCAACACACCAATCCTTAGCCTCGAGGCACTCCTCGGCGGACAGAGAGCGGGTCGCGATTACCCAGTCTGCCCCCTGCAGGACGCACCAATCATGGCCGACGCACCCCTAAACCCACGGCTGGAAATACTACCCAAAGTAGGGACATAGGGGAAATGCTGCTCCGACCAGCGCAGACCGCGCCAGCATATGCGGATTCCCCGCCAAACATGGCCCCCGTCCTGGAGAAAGAGGGAGAGGAGACCTCCCACACGCAGAGCCCCCAGGTGGGACACACAACACCCCCAGCCTCGCCAGAGGACTCAGTCCGCACCACTAAAGGGGACCTGAAAGCCCTCTTGGCAGACATCCAGAAGCTACTGGCTGCAGATGTAGCCCTGATTAAAAGGGACATGCAACAAGTCACAGTCCGTGTCACAAATGCAGAGAGGGACATAGCAGGAGTCCATACCACTATGACCACCCTGAAGGACTCAGTCCAACAGCTGCACATGGAACATGTCCTAGCAACCCAAATAATGTCCCTTGAAGACAAACAACGCCGAACACACAAAGATCCGCGGCATACCCAACACCATCACCACTGAAGAACTGCCGCACAACACGCGACGTCTCTTGACTACAATCCTATCACAACCAATAGCTAAGAAAATCACACTGGACGGTATGTACCGAGTAACAGGCTCAGGACGCACCGCACCGGGCACCCCCAGAGATGTCATCCTGCGATGTGTCACCATACATGACAAGATTCAAATAATGACAAAGGCAAAACGCCACTGGAATTTGAGGATGCAAAGTTATTTTTTCAAGACCTCACCAGAGCCACGTTGCTTAGACGCAAATCCTTTGGCCCAGTAACGTCCACTCTACGCAAAGCGAACATACCATACAGATGGGGTAACACCGGCTCCTTAATCATCCATCATGCTGGGACCACCCATAACCTTAGCTCCCCCATGGGAGCCCCAGCCTTCCTGTCTGCAATGGGACTGCAGCCGAGTCAACCGCCTACCACAGACGACAATCAAAATGTCACCTGGGACCCAACACCTCAACCGGACACCTGGCGGAATACCCACAGTGCCCCAATACCTGACCCTTATCTGGGACTGAGCCAGCCTTGCCGCTGAACAACCATCTGGCTATCGAAAACCACACCGACCAACTACTTGCTTGGACTCTTACCCAAACCAATTAAGAGTTTATTATGTTCAGTTACTATGTTTTTTCTTGTGTTTTTTTTCATCATTTCCTTCTATTTTCTTGTATGCACATGCAGACAACACACCCCACCTCCTGGGATAGGTACCACTACCCCCAAACATAACGGGGCTTACACTCCTCTCTCACTCAGCAAGCCATTGGCCTCTGAGACCCAGGCAATCTGGCAACAAGAAGCGCCTTAAATAACCCCCCCACCCCCTTAGGTCAGGGGGTAACACTAAGCGTGCCAGACCACTACCAAGACATCGACCGGATCAACGTCTACACGAACATGACTATCACTCCGCACATAGTACCCAGTAGGTACACACACCCTGGCACTATCAACGCACATAGACGCCAACCTGAGACCACACATGTGTAGGCTCCTATGCAGCCCTGCAGCCTCATGCACCACAAAGGAGCATACATCACACCCCACGCCTGTAGTACCCCGGGAGCGCAACACAAGCCAATCACTAGCCTGCAGAAATCTAGCTAGCCCCGGGTTTGTTCCCCAACGTGGCCGAAATAAAAAAGTGCTTACCATACACATTTCACCGTAAATCCCGACACTAACCCCACATGCTAAGGGATTACTTGCTACTGTCGAATATTTGCAAACTTACGATCTCATGAAATGCTGAATGTAACTCTCATGTACAACTGTGCACAGAAAAATAAAGAATTTATAAAAAAAAAAAAGGTCCCTCCACCTTTTACTCCACAGTCTTTTATTTATTTTTTTTCTGTCCTTTCACGACAAACAGGAACATTTTATTTTGTGGCAACCTTCCCATGTGTACCATGGGCTTCCAGATGAAGTTCAGCCTCTCTTAGTCTGAAGAACTCCGTAATCAGCCTGCAGGATCAGGACTAACTGAGTTAGGTACAGATTAGTATCTGTACTGCATCGTGGAAATTTGTTTATATCTTTAAAAATATGGGCTAATAATAATTCATGATGTGGGGTCGGCTGTTGCCTTACAAATTACCATTTCTGCATCAAAATCCCGCTTGATCTGACTGCAGAGCTTTTGGAGAAACCATGGTAAGTTAGACTTATCTTTCTTTCTCTTGTTTTTTTCACTTTGCTTGCCTTTTTTTAACTGTCTAGTTTTTACTTACCTGGTTCTCCCTGCTGTCCTCTGTTCGGCTCTTCTTTAGGGTCTGTGTCCCTGCCGCCGGGCGGGCTCTTCTGCTTTCGGTTTTGCAGAGCAGGCGCAGTAGCAGCGGTGTCTGGAATTCTATCTGCGCATGCACTAACTTACTTTTGTGCTTAAAGAGACCACACGCCAAAATTGAGATTGATGAAAATCTTACAAAGACAGTACTTCTAAGTCTCTTCTGAATCTAGTATCTTGGAATTGATCAGTAATGCACAAGGATATTTAGAAAAGCTGCCTAATCCAGTCTGAAAAATTCTAAAGGTAATTTTACAATCTTTAAGAAATGTTTTAGGGGGGGGCGGAGCCTCGACACTGAGCCGTGCAGACGTGCCTGCCACGAGCTCCCGACAAACGGGCCGCAAACGGGCAAAAGCGGAGGCTATATGGCCTAAGGTCCTTTGAAGGTGCACCACACACGTCGGGAGTGCACCGCTGAATCGATGGCTACAACCCCAGGACCTGTCGGAGCCGGGAAAGCGGAGATCGGCCTAAGGCCTACTGGGGCTGGAGCCGAGGGGAGGCGGCTGCTCCCCTCCGCACCGGGTGCCCCGAGCAACGCTCATACAGCTTACCCCCCCCCTATGGACCGGCGGGGGATATCCCGGTCCCCACTGGAAGCAACGAAAAACTGAAGAGTTCACCTCACGCTATGCAAGGGCAACAGGCCACCAAGATACCTCCAATATGGCGGCCCAGTGCAGACACCATGAGAGGGGAGCACATAATGAGCCGCCCACACCGCCAAAAGGGACTTTCGACTGGCTATGCAACACATTCTGGGAGGCGCTGCACAGCCGAGGGGCTACCTACCGCCAAGCAGAACTAATGGTTGCCGCATGGATCCGACCAGCAGCGCGACGCAGCCAGTACAGGCACCCACCCAGAGCCTCCAAAGCGACCATCAGGCAACACAGGTACCGCCGGTCTCCAAGGCGGGAAGGGGCGCTGGGCCTCGCAAGAACACTCCACTGCTCTCCACCACATAAACCCGCGACCATGCCACAAAAGACACACGCAGGGAACCCTCCAGACCCGACCAATACTATGCAGTGCAGCATGATCCGGATTCCTGCGGGCGACGCCACAAAACAAAGGTTGGAGCGACTGCTCCCCCCTCAAGGCACCACTGGAGCTGACTCCCGGTATGGAGACATCCTACCCGAAGACCCCAAAGCATGGACTCATATTGGCACTGACCGGGACTTCCCAACACTAGGCATTGGCTGAACCATTCTCTGCACAACCCCACGAGAGCCAAGCCCAGCAATTCCGGGTGGCGCTTTATGTGACCAGATCACACCATGGCCATGCTAGCACAGGCCTGAAGGGGTTCACACTGACTTTTCATTTATTTTTCATTTCTTTCTTTATCTTCGTCTAGAGCACACCTAGCCACTACAATAATTATACGCCCAGACGGTGATCGGCTAATCCTTGCTGTACCCCATGAAGAATAAGGCCCCCTGCCATATTTTCACATACTCAAGTGAAGTTACTCTTGTACACCGCAAACCCCAGTGGTTATTTACTTAACTTTAACATAGCTCTTGTCACAGCATCTTAATTTCATGATTAGAAGTGAAGCGAGGTCACGTTATGTATATGCCTAAACATCGAAAATCGTTAATGTTCATAATATACTTTAATGTTATAAAAATGTGCTAGACTACACATGTACCTCTTTGTTTAAACGATGACAATGCACTGGTGGATTGCCTTTGGGGTACCCCAATGCGCAACTGTACTAAACTTATGCACTACAAAAATAAAGAATTATAAAAAATAAAAAAAAATGTTTTAATTAAAGACTTCTTGTTACTTTCCATGTTCTTAGTAAAATTTATTTTATCAGATGGCTACAGCCTCTGCCTCAAGATCACTCACTAGAAGACATAGGTGAGCCTCTAATTTTATATATTTATGGTGGGGGGAAAAAGAGTGCCACTATAGGCCTATTATATATTATATATTGGCCTCTTACAGCACCGAGAGATCGCAAGACTATTCTCCAAGGAAGTATAAAGAAAAGTCAAACAGATGTACTAACTGCAACCAAGTGGCACCTAATGGAAGAAATCTGTGTAGAACATGCCTGACGGAGGTGGCAGAAGAATGGGAGAAAAGACGTACTCCTCAGGATGATCTTAAGTGGATTTGAGAAGCTATTGTGGAAGGCTTGAGGTCCACGTTGGAGAGAATTGTTTCAAGAAACATTCGAGAGTTGAAAGAGGTTATGCAGACTCTGATGAAGACTCTGAATTGTTAGAGGATATAGAAGAAGATGAAGAGATTACCTCAAAATTCCTGGATTCCAGGGCAGTGGATAAACTGGTTTATCTAATAAGAGACACCTTGAGAATTCCAGAGGAAAGAGCAGACAAAAAAAGAATCTGACAGATACTTTGAGGATCTAAAAACAAATAGACCTATGTTTCCGGTACACTCTACTATAAAGGAAGTTATCCATGAGGAGTGGAATAGACCAGAGAGAAAAGCGACTCTAAAAAACAAGACATATAAAATATATCCTTATGCTCAAGCTGACTGCAAGTCATGGATTTCAGTCCCAAAAATTTACGCAATAGTTATTCACATGGCAAAAAGAACAACTCTTCCTATTGACTCCATGGCCTATTTGAGAGAGCCGATGGAAAAGCAGTTGGATGCCAATCAGAGCATATCTGGCTCTGGGGTTAGCCTTGCATCCAGCGATAGACCTAACTACTTTATCGAGAGCTCTAAAAGTGTGGCTTGAGAATTTGGAAGAAGATATCACTAGAGGAGTCAGTAGAGAACACCTAATGGAGGGTCTCAAAGATTTAAAATAAGCAACTGAATTTTGCTCAGAAGCTTCCCTGGACGTTGACAAAATGGTAGCTAAGAGCATGGCTATTTCCGTTGCCTCTAGAAGAGCATTATGGCTACACTCATGGGGAGCAGATTATGCTTTTAAGGCCTCCCTATGTGCTCTCCCATTTCAAGGAGACTTACCTTTTGGTAAAGTCCTTGATGCCATTCACAAAGAGGCTGATGGGAAAAATACATTTCTCCCACAAGGAAAAAGAAGATTCAGTTCATCTTTCTGGAAAGACAAAAAATTCAGAGACCGATCCTTATAGGCCTGTCCGGGAGTGTTCCAGGAATACTAACTGGAGGAATTATCAGTCAACCTCATCTAAAACAGTTAGATGAAGAAGATCTAGGCCTGCGAATAGGGCCAGCCCAAGGCATTGTGCTGCCTGGATCAAAGGATGAAATGCTGCCCCCCTCCATCCCCAACAAAACCACACCAAGCAAAAAACGCCCTCATCCATTAGTGTTATGCAGTGTGTGTAGAGAATGCAGTGTCTGTGTAGTGGATGCAGAGTGTGTATTTGTGTAGTGGGTGCAGTGAATGCATTGTGTGTCCTGCCTGCGAATAAAAGGTTCTGAACGTTTGCAGGTCCAGCCAGGTGTTATAGGGGGCAGTCTTCACCTCTTCTATCCTTTTTTGGGCCAAAAACATTACAGATTCCTCGGTTCTATCAATTCTAAAGGAAGGTTACAAGATCAACTGCTTCCCTACAAAGAGGGTCTTGACTTGTTCACATATAGCCAAAGGAGAAAAAAAATAGCTATGAAGAACTGTACTTCACAGCTCCTAGGGAATCAGGTCATACAAGAAGTTCCTTATGGAGAACCTTTCAGTGGCTACGGTCTTTCTGGCACCAAAACTTTAGGGCAAATGGAGACTAACTTGGTCCTAAATAATTTGAATGCAAAGTTAAAAATAAGAACTTTCAAGATGGAGTCTATCGCAACTATTCTACCAAATATAAAGGATGGAGACTGGATGACATCTATCGATCTAAAAGACGCATATTATCAGATCCCTATTCACGTCAGTCATTGCAGGTTCCTAAAATTTTGGATCTCAGGAAAGCATTACCAATTCAAGGGTCTTCCATTCGGATTGAGCTTAGCTCCAAAGACATTCTCAAAAATTCTCATTGCCCTTGTAGCTTTTATAAGGAAAAAGAACATTGAGATATACCATTATCTGGATGACTTCCTGATCATAGGCTCATCCAGTCAAATAGTGCGTCTCTATACCCAGTCTACTATCAATTGTCTTCAGGAACATGGTGTCAGGGTGGCGGTCCGGTGCCCGGGACCCTGACACTGTCCGGGCGGCGGTGCGTGGACCAGGACCCAGTATGCCTGATGGTCAGAGTAGGAGTCACAGTGTGGAAGTGGATTATCAGGGCCTGGTGCAGGGCAACCGCACGCTCCCTGGTGTTGAGCAGCAGCGTTTGTGCAGCCACATACCAAAACCCTGATTCAGCTTATGCGGATCTCAGGAACTAGGAGCTTGGAATTAAGCAGACCTCCCAGGAGCTGAATAGGGAGGCTCTGCAGCAGGGATGTATCCAGTACAGAAACAAGGCAAGACTAGAGATAGGCGCCATACATGAAAACAAGACAAAACTAGGAGAACACAGAACCAGAGCAGGACAGAAAGCAGAACCTAGAACATGTACATAAGACATGAGGAAAACAAGAACATAACATGGGCATGACTGGACAGGATTGTACATGGACTGGGATTACAAGATAAAATAAAACGAGATACAAGGTAAAACAAGAGGAGACACACTCCATTTACCGGCCGACAAGGCCCAACAACCTACCCCCTAAACCAGAGACACCGATAGTAATATAATGGACGACCCACTCATGGGTCCAGTCTGCAGACACGCTCGGGCGGCGGGGAAGCCCCCCCGGTATAAAACCCACTCGAGTTTCTAATCCCCACCCCCTTCCTAAAATGAAGCACCAGAAGGGTTCCTCACTATATTTACATACGGTGCCTTTCACACACCATATGGTTCATTTAAGGATCACACAGGACCACACCTGACCTAAGGATGCTCCTCAAAAGACCATTTAGCACCACACACCGTTAGCCTGCTCAGGCCATCACCTGTCCACCATCTCCGATCCCACGCTCCCCACGGCGCTGATTAGCAGCTCCTTGCACCGAGATCGGGCCACCATGTATATACTTTGGTTAACTAAGTTTATTTCTTTCTATCCCTGTTTCACTCCCCTGTTGGGATATCACCCTCCCTACCCTATCCAACCATCCAAGCAAAAACGTGACGTACAAAGTGGAACCCTTGGGTCCTCGGTTTGCGAACGACAGCACAAAGTACACCTCACTTCTCAAGACACTGACCTGACCGATAGCGCTCTGCCTTATACCATACACTGATAGTTTATTCCCATAATGTCAGAGGGCTCAACATGCCACACAAAAGGCATATGCTACTTCAAGAAGCTCGAAAAGCAAAAGCAGATATACTGTGTCTCCAAGAGACTCACTTTCCCAAAGCCAAAATCCCACAATTTAGAATGAAACATTTTCCCCATCAGTTCCACGCCACGCGCGTGTCCAAATCCAGAGGAGTCTCCATATATATACACAACTCAGTAGCCTTTGAACTACTACACTCCATTTCAGACGATCAGGGCAGGTACCTGATTGTTGTCTGTCTGTTGAATGATGTACAACATACAGTGGTAAACCTCTACGCACCTAACGAAAACCAGAAAAACTTTTTGACCAGTACCCTCCTGAAAGTGGCAGCTGTACAGAGAGGCAACACTATCATATGCGGAGATATAAATCATGTCTTAGACCCAACCCTAGATACCTCTATGCCCTCCTCCACCAACCGACAGAAATCCCTCAAACCAACCTGCAAAGCCATAACACAATTGTTGATGAAATTCAACCTCTATGACTGCTGGAGATTACTCCACCCTATAGATAGAGAGTACTCATATTACTCTAAACCCCACAAAACACACTCTAGGATAGATGTAATACTTATAGCAGGACCATCTCTCAACCTACTTCAAAAATGTCACATTGGTGACATCATATGGTCAGATCATGCCCCAATACTCGCTACATTCAGGGATAACTTCACTTTTAGAGGTTGCAACCCATGGCGCCTCAACTGCTCCCTTTTACACGACGATAAATTCAGCTCAGACATGGATATAGCACTCAAACAATATTTCTCCGAGAATGAAACATCAGGGATGTCCCCAGCAGTGATATGGAGAGCCCATAAGGCCGTAATGCGAGGGCTGTTTATACGAAGGGCCTCTTTTCTAAAACGGACCTCCCAAAATAAATACCTTAATCTATTAAGGAAATTAAGAGACGCCACAGCGTC